TAATAGATATGCAATGTTTCTCACACTGCGTCTGCAGAATGAGGAAGGAGTGAAACAGAGAGATAACATTAAATACAAAATTGTAATATCAAGCAAAGAATAAACCTGAATGTAATTGATTCTCTTGCTTTTTTTTTTTTATCAAACAGCCGAACACTTCAATCTGGAGCCTAACAGGGAAAATTTAATCAGCGAGGTTACACATGTCATGTGTAGGTTGAAGACAACTGGAAATCAGCACCGATGAAAAGAGTAACACCTGCACACCGACTCCACAGACAAGAAGCATTTTATAGAAATCGTTTCTGTCAAACGACTGGCAGCGACGTTGATAGCTGCCCATAGTTTCCATTTGATGTATCATCGTCTCTGTACTCCGGCCCTGTGGGACTGTATTTTCACCGTATACAACTTCAATAGTTTTGAGATGTTTATCCTCCTGGGTGGTTCGGATGCTGAACCACATCTGTCATCACAGAGTCTATTAGCCAATTGGACGTGAGCATTTAAGTAAATAATCAGTGATGTTTTTTTCACTTTTTTTTTATCATTCTGAATTGCATTGTTCTGGCTTTAAGGCTCTTTATTGGACAAAACAAGCTTTTCTTAACCTTTGGGAAACTGATGGGTATTTTTCTTTTCTTTTCCTGAACATTTTATTGACAAAATCGATAAAATCTAAAAGTATTTAACCGAAAAACATCTTAACTCAATGTCCACTTACTTGTGATTTCAACCGGATCTCAGGAGCCTCAAAAATGTAGACTAGAAAAAGCCATTACCTAGACTAAGGCCGTCACGTAAAAAAAAAAAAACTACTTCAAATGATAATGAGCGAACACAATCAAATCAGTTCAAACACAACACATGTACCTATAAACCCACGATGGAAATACTGTTCACTTCATTCTAACATTAAGGCAATTTACAAAGTCAGCAAACAGCCTTACTTTTCTCCACCATGTTTCAGACTGGCTGAGGTCACTAGTAGGTGGACTACAGTCTGGGTCCAGACCCAGACATATAACCTATAAATTATTGCAAATTATTAAATTTTGATGCAGCGTTTCTATTTTAAACGGCGGAGCTTTTTTTTTTTTAGCCGCTACGACACTGGTCACGTGACGCTACTCAGCCAATCACTGCGACTTGTGTCAGTGATCGAGACACACACACACACACATAGACACATGCTGAGAGACAACGTCGGAGAGATAAGTAGGGAAGGTGGGATAGAGGAGGTAAAGAAAAAGGTGTTACAGCCGTTCAGTTGTTAGAGATGTGTTGAGACTGTTTGTTATAAAACTGGTTGAAACTGTTAAAGTCAAGCTACAGGTTTTATTTCATTTTGTAAAAATCAAGCACTACATTACATTTTTTTCCAAAAGCCTTGTGTCCTGTAGGTGTCACTTCTTGCAGCCCGTTTTCATTCAAGGAGAATTACATCTAACTGGACCGCTTTGAATTCTAATTGAATACTTTTGACTGAGGGCGACAGGACAGGCAATAAGTCAGATTGAATATAGGTCATTTCATTTTTTTCCCCACATTTGAACTGTAATTTCAAATTAAAATTAAAAGCGACAGTCCTAAAGTTGAGATTCAGTGTTTTCATGATCATGAACAAACTTTCAGGCTCAAAAATAAATAAATAAGATAACTGAAATATTGGAAATGTGTGTTATTGGCAGCCTCCATCTACTGTAGGGCTGCACTGATTTCATGTGAATAACATGCACTCCATGTCACCCGAGGTGTTTCCGTACCTCGAAGCCACTCATTAGTATGCTGCTGAGGATTTTTCATTCCATGTACGCTGCTGGTCCTGCTTGTCTCTTTGGCTTAAGATATTTCTCCAGCTCCAAGAGTCTGCTGCTGACTGTATGAGGCTTGTCACAGGGGCAGAGATATGGTCCTTGTGGGAGAGGAGCTCTGCGAATGGCCCAGACTTATCAAAGCAGCCCGCCCTGTCCCCAAGCTTCCAACACAATGCTCCCCTAATTTTTCCTGAATGGAAGTCTCTCCAGAGGAAGAGTAATCTCATATTTGCCGTTTGCATGCAGTAACTCTAGTTACTCTAGCTCTGTTCCCCGCATCCCCCCCTGCCAATTGCATAATCAAGTCCAGAACTCATCAGCAAGATGGCAGAAGAAGTGCTCTATTAAGCTGCATCGTGTTCCATCTGTTGTGTGAGAGAGAGATAACAGTATTTACAGTTTTGGAGTTGTGGCAGACTGTTTCGGCCAAATTTTGTGCACCGCAGAGTTCTGCTTACTTCATAAAATGTCACGGATTAATTCTGCTGCTTGCGATGGTGTCCAACTGCAATCTTTGCCCCCACCAGAAATATCACAAACTTAACTTTACTGGAACTGTTACATCAGGAACTTGTGTTAGGTGAACACTATTTGAATGTAAAACGCCGGGGGGAAACGTTTACTCTGAAATTCTTGTCCTGGCTCATTCTCTAAGTGCTCCATCACTTTTATTCCGTTTTTGGGGAATGGCCAATATTTGCCGTTGCGCTACAGAAAAGACCTGCAATGTGGACAAAGGACGTTAAGAGACTCTGTCAAGAAAGCGGCTGGTAAGTGTCTTTCAAATGGCATTAAGTATTCAGTGCTCCAGTCTTCTCTCTGTCAGTGAGGGGGGTATGTGTTCTTAGAAAGGAAAGACACTAACCCAGATTTGAATAACGAAACCAGCTGATAACAAAAAAGTGCTGAGTGAAACAGAAGCCTTATCCGCCTCACGGACCGGAGTGAATTTACCTCACTGTACATGAATCAGCTCAGCACAAAAACGCATTTAACCTCAAGTCTGTTCTTTCAAACAAGACTCCAATCTGCTACCGATATCGTCAGGTTCGTTGCAACATGCGCTGAATGAATAGACGAGAGTAGAGTTATTTCGTTCTACACATGACGGTGTCGAAAAGGTCATAAAACAATGTATGAGGGTTAAAACTGGAATCGTTGCTCCTACATATTTCATTCTCAACACGACAGAGAAGAACGTGCCTCATTTCTAAACCAGTAGATTACAGTAATTTTTTCAGAGGGCTATCTGAGGACACAGCAGGAATGCCAAACTCTTTCATGGCTGAATCTCCCAACATTTCCAATTAATATGAACACAAACGCTGGTTAAATATGATTCAATCTGATTATATCAGAGAGGAGGATTACGATATGATAATGTGATAAACTTTGAGATAAAATGATTAGTCAATTAACTGCCAACTATTTTGATAAACAATTTTTTTAAGTCATGTTTTTATAGCAAAATTGCCAAATATTTGCTGCACTGTTTTGAGGATTTGCTGCTTCTCTCTATCTCAATATCTCTGCTTTGGGCTGTTGGACAAAACAAGTCATTTAAGGACATTACCTTGGCCTCAGTTCTTAAATCAAGGCTGAGGACTTCTCTGCCTGCCTCTGCCTTTTATTAAATCAAATAAATATATATATATTTTTTATCATCTTTATGCTGCTTTTACATTTTGTCTTAAAGCATTTTATGTTAAACGTAAAGCACTTTGAATTGCCTTGTTGTTGAAATTGGCAATACAAAGAAAGTTTCCTTGCCTTAGGGAAACTGTGAGGGACCCTTTTCACTATTTTCTAGCATTTTATACACTTTATGCTTAATTGATTAACTGAGCAGATAATCAGATCAGTAATGAAATACACATTAGCTGCAGCCCTAAAGTTCAGAAGATGACGGTGCAATCAGAAAAGTAACTCCATTTGTCACTTTGGTAAACCCCAGCAAGTAAACAACACTAAAATTAAATCATGTCTCACTTTGCTAAGGGGCCCTTAGGAGCTTCCTTTCAGGATCCCTTGAGGTACCCAAGTTTGGGAAGAAGCAACTAGAAGTGACATGGCTGTCTGAATAAAAACAGCTCGTGCAGCAGCTGCATCTGGAGGTTCATCAAAATTAGTTACAGTGCAGCAGGACTGCTTACAGTGAACTAATGCTCCTTGTCTGTTACTGTTAAAGCCAACAGCAGTCTGCCTGAATCCAGACAAAGCCCATGAGTGGTGCTTGAAGGATGCACTTGGATGCTATAACAGTGCACTTCCCACATGAGGAGCTCCACGGGGCTGCGTCTGAAGAAGTGTTTGCAAAAATTCAGACAGCTTCAAAGCAGTAGGGCTGTGCAACGGATTAATTAAAGCGTCTGCGCGGCGGCGGCGGCGGAGGCTGCTGCTGCTGCCTCTGCTGCTGCTCCATCCGTTCAAAATTCCATTTCAGTCACGTCCACTTCTTCAAAGGAGGAAACACATGTACATTTGAATAAGAGTGTGATTATTCCACTACTTGCACCACAGCTTACACGTGTCTGCACGGGATAGAGATGACTGCATCCCCCTGAAAAACTGGGATGTCAAGTGCCTTCAGTGATTAGAGGTTTCGCTGCTGCTTCCATTCATAAACTGTAAGCTATAATCACATGTTATGCCATTTCAAATAGGGAGGAGGGAGGCTTCTGCACAAATATTCACCTTGCCATCAGTTTCCTTCAACATTTTTTTGTTTGTGCCAGCAACAACAAAAAAAATCCATATGTATGTGCCAGCAGAAAGGATTGTATTATTTATGCTCTTGTGTGTTTCTGTTCATGTGGCTCAAATGAAAAAGTTTGTATCCCTCCTCATGACTAATGGAGCAGGTGGAGTCTTCAGTCAAACATGCCCTGTTTTACTCAGTTTACAGGTAAATGGGAGAAAGCTGGCTGTGATATCTTTGCTGTATAACAACTTAGCAAAACTGCCACCATGCTGAGAGGACCTCGCTTTGTGTTAGTGTGACCAAACAGGAAATTGTAAGTAGACCCACAAACCTCTTATTTTTTAACTTGAAGTGGGAAGGCTGCTGGTGTGGTGTAGCCTGGAGCCCAGCACCAAGCGTTAAACCTGAGCTCTGTGTTGTAGACCCAAACAGTCTTCACACGCCTAAACTGTTTACATCAGTATTTAACCACGGACATTTACCTTGATCCAGTAGCCGCAGGGAGTGCTGAAAAGACGGATCCAGCGTGTCCTTCTCTGCCATAAGCTCCGGCAAGTACTGTTCGCTCCCCATGTCGTCCTGGACTTTGTGCTCAAAGTAAAAACGACTCAAATGTAATGCAAGTATAAAAAATAAAAAATAAAAAAAAAAACCCAAAAACAAAACAAAAACAAAACTTACTCAACGTTCAAACGGTTCCAAGTTAGAGCACCGCCAAATATTTGTGTGAAGCAAAACCGCAGGCGTTAATGTCATTCACGCTCGCGCTTACAAGAGCATTTCTCGGTCCTCGCGGAACACACACACACACTCACACACATACACGCGCGCACGCTACAAACAGACAACAATGAGCCGTTAAATGTGACCGGGAGGGTTTATCCCATCGAAGTGTTGTTCAGCCCGCAGAGCCCCGCTACGCATCACAGCCGGACCGAGGTTCCCTCTTCCTCCTCTCTGGGTGGACAGGCGCTTTGAAGCTCCCTCTGTTGTATCCAGTGCTCAACTGACGCTGCTGTAGCTATTGGTCGCCGCGCGCGACACGCAGAGGGTGGAGGGGGCGGAGCGATACACCGGAACTGTCCGCGGTGCTGAGTCCCCGCCATTACCATATTATCATAGACTCACCCATGAGCAGAGGGGCAGTGGGGGGGAGGGGGCCCATGCACAAACTCTGAGCTATGGGGCAAAAGTAGCTGCATCTGATCAAGACCAACAAAGCGTGTATGTAATGTTACTGCAATCCTCTCTCATCTCACTGTAGCTCCCTGTCCTTTTGAAGATGCACAGCAGCAGAACTAGGCTTTGTGAATTGCTTTGGATAAAAAGCTAGAACCTGTTTATATGATGTCACCACTGACATTATTCACCAGAACCTCCACGTCTGCTCGTAAGTACAAAGTGATTCAGTGACCACATGGATTTGACCCGGAAACTCACCAGTAGCTCGTATATGATAAAAGAGCGCAATAAAAACGAAACAAATAAAGCTTGTAGGACTAGGTTTTGACACAGGGCTCCTCTGAGAGACAGGGCAACAAGATCAGGTAATAACACAGTGTCCATTTTATGTTGCGCTTTGTTTTACGTGCAAAATCACAAACAGATTTACAAATAGTCAATTTGCCAAAAACCCTTGGGGGCCCTTGAGTTTTGGGACCCCAGTGCAGTTACCTGCTTTGCCAGGATGGTAATCCAGCCTAGGTGGTATAAGTTATTGTTTTTCAACTTTAAAGGTACCATCCAACCTGAAACCTCACAGATATGACATGTTAGCTTCAGCATCTAAGAAAAAAAAAGGTTGCTATGCAAAATAATAATAAAAAGCAGAAAAGCAGCATAAAGTTAAGTGACACCCTAAATAGCTGGAGTGCTTTAATGCTTTTATTTTAGAGGAGCATGTATTTTCGTGGTTGAGATAAGCCTGCTATTCAACATGTTACCTTAATTTAGAAAAACAATATAGTATAATTTGATGGCTCCTAATACATTTAGACCTTTTCAAACACGCAGAAAGGACTGGAATGGCATCACACAGATACCACTATGGCGGGGAAGTTATTTTATATGCATTACTATAGTTGATGAAATATGCTGGTAGAATATCTAGACAGACACAGTGAGTCACTAGATTGACTGTTTTAGGGCAAAACCTTCTCTACAGGTATTTTTTCCAGTGTTGTCTCCCATATAATTACATTAGATATAGAAAACACAAGGTGTCGGCATCCAAATGACCTCGGAGAACTGCTGACAGATCCAACCAGCAAATGCATATATGAAAATAGCATAATCATTCATCAGCTGAGAGAGCCTGTCTCGATTGCAGATGAGTCAGACATGCATGTTTTTGGGGTGGACTGGGTGATGGTTAGACTGACCTTAAGAGCACAGCTATGTGATGGTATTAAAAAGGCTTAGATGTTCAGATGTTGTATATTAATAGAGGTACGGCTGACCTGTTGTGTTTCAGATCGGTCAGTACAGTTACAGGAACATCTCCGGAGGCTGCATAACTGTCCTCTTTACTCTTTTAGGCAATTGATTGTGACTGCATGACTCCTTAGGTTGCGTTTACTTGTTAGGACAAGCTGTCAATAGTTCTCAGGAAATCTATTCACCTTCTCATAGGTCAAGCATGCTTTTCTCCTGGGCGTGTTTATGAATTCATTAAATAAGAAAAGCTTGTTGTTTAGGAAACACAGCCACATAAAGCCCCTGATCGCTACCAGAACCAAACTTGGCGAGTCTCCAGTTTTGTAACGGAGAAGAGACAGTGACACCAGTGTCATTAAAAGACAGATATAGAGTTTATCCAGACAGCAGTTATCTGAAGATACAGCCACAAATCCACTTGATCAGACATCCTGAGCCCTGCAGTTCCAGGAAAACATGCAGTCAATGCAAAACTGTCTATGTGAGGAATTTATGGTGTTTAAAAGCCGGGAAAAACAGTATTCGTGCACGAGCTTCGTATTTGTTAGAAAATAAGGAAAAAAAGATAAGAATTCTGTCAATATTTGTGGAGGATGCTGAGGTAGCCTCAGGTGGGCGGCTATCTGTAGGCTGATCAGCAATGGTTATATAATTGAGATTTTTTTTTTCTCCATTCTATTTCAATAACTTGGAGAAAATGTGACCCAGAGGCTAAAACCAAGATGGGTTTATATGTATTTATCAGCATTTTCACCATTTTATCCTCCATGAACTTTGGAATGTGCCATTGTTTATTTTTGCTTTAATGGCTTGACTTGTGCTCTGGAATAACCACTATACATACAGTATATAGTGTGTATGCAGTATTAAAACATATTATCATGTGCAGGCATGGAAAATAAATGGGTGGAAATATGCACGGTGCTTGGTGAGGTCTGCAGGGTTGAAAGGTCTGCAGTGATCGGCATGCAGGGGAAAAGGGAGTGTTATTGTGTGCTATTATCAAGGCCGTAAAAATGCTTTCATTAATAACTTAATGCACCTGGTAACATTGTAAGATTCTTGAAATTTCTGCCACGCAGAGAAGGCGTGCATTATGTTCCAATCTTAAGCGCGTTGAAGACGTTTTCCACCGAGTCTTTCCAGATCCTTGTTTGTGAGTGAATCACTGCAAAGAGAAACGCATTATGAATCAGCTTACTTTTTAATCTCTCCCAGAGACCATTAAAAAGCAGCTCAAATGCACTAATCTCCTATTCAGAAGAGCGACTTATTTATAGATATGCTTGCCATCTGTTGCTCCCCCTCTACATAAACAAAACCTCACATTGTCACTGATGTTTGAGTCAAAGTTGCAGGCCCCATACGTCTTCCTCAGGACCATCGCTTTCAAAGGGAATTCGCTAAGTGATTGCAATACATCAATGGCAATGAAAATAATCATGGTTTATGGGGCAACATTTTTATATAAGTCACAGCCGACCACAAGGGCAGCAGCATTGGTGTAAACAAAGCCATGAGAAATGTTCTGTCAGTTGGGTGTAAAGAATGAAGAACAGCGGGCTATTACATTGACGAAGTGTTATTTTGATCATTAGAGAATGGCTGCCCCCTCTCTTGCCCCACAGCCTGTCCCTGCCCATTAAATATGATGTTGACTACACCTAGAACTAGACAGCCTGTGCGGCACCCCAGGGTGTCATGTATGGTATATACACCCATACTATTATGTCCGCACAGTCAATGTTTCTCCCTCTCTTAACAAGAGGCAAGGATCTAATCAGCGCTGCCGTTGTCTTATTCCCAGCAATTTGATGTAAATCCTAACTGATTTAAATGGAAGCACTTGTCTTGTCAGCTTTCAATATTCATAAAATCCCATTTCAGCTAGAGGATGTCATGGGGGTCTTGTCACCTGAGGAGTAATTAGACCTTGATGTGTCCGCAAGCTGATTGCTGTGTCACTTCATGTCATGGAGAGAACAAGAGCTGCGAGTCCAGAGCGAGGACACTTTGCCATGTTTCCACTTTGTTTTTGGCCCTGTGAAATGGACAGGATTACAGTGGCAAATCAGGGGCGCTTTTAACACCTTAAATAAGTGGATTCCCTCCCATCACCACATTTAGGTGGTGGCAGGAGGATTTGTGAGGAGAGTGACAACACTGCCTCCTTGTGACCATGTCAAATTATTTAAGCAGACATGAGAAGTTCACATGAGAAAAGAAGGCGATTTCCTACCCTGTCGGAGTGAGTGGTGTGTTGGAAATAAAGCACTGTAAGTCAGGGATTCGTGTCTGTGCTCAGGGGCTAATTGTTATAAAGCTTTGCTGTAAATGGTGCAGTTTGTTTAATTTATCAGCAGCACCGGTGCCCACTGTGCACTTCTGTTCGTAAAAGCATCATTACAATGATTCAAAGGTCTTGCTTTTAAATAAAAAAAATTTGGAGGTATGTGGGGAAAACAGTTTTAATGACAGAGAGAGAGAGAGAACTATAAGAAAAGGAGAGAAGAAGAGAATTATAAGAGGCCAAAAAATACTGAGGAAATTGTTTTTGTGCCATTGTGTTGCCCCTTTTTCTTCATTTATCCTGTGTTTAGTTGTGTTTAAAAGGTTCCGTCTGCAAGAATAACGCCATAAAAAGCATTAATAATGCTAGATTGCATTCGCTCGTCTATACTATGCAAATAATTTCAATATTCTCCAATAACAGTGGAATAAAACACAATTTCTCCCTCAGTCTCTCTCATCTTCCAAAGTGATTTTAACAAAGCCCTTCTTTCACGATATTGTTTTCCTCATACAGCCCCACAATGCCGCTTCAGTCACAAAAGGCACCTTATTGTGGCTACTAAATGGAGCGCTCACATCCATTAAACAGCCATTCAACAGAATTATATTGCCAGTGTCAGTCTATCAGGTACATTGATCACGCATCGTCGGCTGTGAAGTGCAGAATCTGGTCTCCTCTCCTGGAAGTGTTGTGCAAAAGAAACCTAATGAGAAACTGTCAGGAGCACACAGGTAAACAAATCAATGGCACCCAGCAGTGCTCCCAAGGTCAAGCCATGCACACACACACACACACACACACACACACACACACACACACACACAGCATCAACATCAACCTCTCTAACAAACCTGGGGTTGCAGCAGCAGCCAAAGCTTCTACGGTAAAGGGTGCTGTCAAGATTTGACTTTCAGGATATAAACAAGGTTCA